CCCCCACCTGCCTCCACCCTCACTTGCCCCACTCTGGGCCCCTGAGCAAGGCCCTTAACCCCCACCATCTGCTCCCAAAAAAACAGGTCTCTCTTGAAAATGAGTTCTCATGACTCAATGAGACTACCTGTATAAAGAAAGGGTAAATGAAAAAAAAAATATATATATAAAATAAAAAAATCACACATATATATATATATATATATATATAGACACATTTAACTTGCCCTACTCTTCCACTTATTATTAACCTTTTTTTAACCAGGCAATTCCCATTGAGATCACAGATCTCTATTGAAAGGGAGGCCTGGGACTGAAGGCAGCCTAACATGCATGTTTTTGGTCTGTGGGAGGAAACCGGAGTACCCGAAAAAAACCCACGCAAGCACAAGAAGAACATACAAACTCCACACAGAAAGACTCCAGGTCCAAATGGGGATTGAACCTAGGACCTTCTTGCTGTGAGGCGACAATGCTAACCACTAAGGTGTCGTGGACGGTTCAACTTGACTTCAAACTAGAATCCTCCAACTTGGAGTTTTTTTCATTCAACCTTTATTTAGACAGGTAAATCCCATTGAGCCTCGAGGACTCATTTACAAGAGAGACCTGATTTCAACAAAGAGTGATGATAACAATGGACAACAGCGACAAAAATAGACAGTTATAAAAAAGGCATACAGATTTTTTTTTTACAAATAAGGTGGCAAAAAAGTAACAAAAAACGGCTAGATTATGAGGCGAATGTAGAAAACTAAAAACAGAAACATGTCTGCATTGGTCCTTGCCAGGAGTCCAACTGAGTCTTAAAGCCACTTAAAGAGGTCAAGGTCGAGAGCTTCAGGTCTTTTTGTAAGATATTCCAGGAAACAGGAACGGAGTAGGAGAAGGCCCTTTTGCCTAGTTCAGTCCTCACTGAGGGAACACTGCAGGTAATAATGTCCTGAGAGCGTACGCTGTAGCTGCACTTATGCAGAGACATGTAGGAGGGGATAAATGAAGGCAGCAGACCAAGAAGTGATTTAAAGAGGAAAATGTACCAGTGAGAGAGTCTGCGTGAAGTTAATGATGTCCAGTTAACCAGTGAATACAGGGTGCAGTGGTGGGTACAATAATCACAGCCAGTTATGAATCTTAGTGCACTATGATAGACAGCATCCAACATCCGCAGAGTTCTTGTAGGAGCAATCATGTAAATAATGTCACCGTAATCAATGGAGGGAAGGAAAGTCACAGTTAAAAGGTGTTTCCTAGCATTCAGAGTTAGACAGGATCTGTTTCTGAAAAAGAAACCCAGTTTAACTTTCAGGTTTTTTACTAGGTTTTCCACGTGGAGCTTAAAAGAGATGTGAGTCGACCAAGATGCCCAAATATTTATAGGAATCAACAAACCCAATGGGGAATATCATTTGAGGATAAAATCGGAAGAAGAACTGCTGGGACCGACTTTCTGTTTGAAAAAAGCATCCCTTTGGTTTTGTCGGCATTTAGGACAAGTTTGAGGTGGAACAAATCAGACTGGGTGATGTTAAATGCAGATTTCAAAAGCTGGAAAGCCTTATCAACTGTTTTAGCTCGACAATAAACAACTGTGTCATCAGCATAGAAATGTATGGATGCATCAGGGATGTTTTTACCTACATTACCTATGTAGATTGTAAAGAGGGTGAGTCCTAAGACTGAGCCTTGAGGTACACCTTTGTTGACTGTTAAATAACTGGAGGAAGTACCATTATGTTGAACACACTGCCTACGGTCTGAGAGATAGTTAGAGAACCAACCAATGGTGTGTTCTGAGAAACCGATTTCTGAGAGCTTATGACACAAGATGTTATGATCCACAGTGTCAAAAGCTTTAGAAAGGTCTAAGAAAAGTGCAGCACAATAATCCTTAGCATCCAATGCTTCAACAATGTCATTAAAAACCTTCAGTGAAGCAGTCGTTGTGCTGTGTTGTTTCCTGAAACCAGATTGATGTGGAGGTAAGATGTTAAATGAGTCCAGGTAATCTTTGATTTGAGAGTTTATCAGTTTTTCTAGAACCTTGGCTAAAATGCAGAGTTTAGAGATTGGTCGATAGTTGTTCAGTGAGGTGGGGTCACCTCCCTTCAGCAAAGGAAGAACAAAGACTGTTTCCCAAGTGTCTGGGATGGAGTTTTGTATTATGGAGAGATTGAAGATGTGGGTCACAGGGACTGTGATGATATGAGCAGCCAGCCTTAAGAAATAAGGTGGAAGTACATCTGGTCCTGCAGATTTTTTAGGATCAAGATCTTTTAACAATTTATTGACCTCACTAATTGAGAATGGAGAAAAAGAGAAGGTGTGATTAACTGAGGATTGACTCATAGGAGGGATTTGATTTGTAGAAGTTTGGTTATTAAGTGAAGTGGCTGATTTTCCATTAGTAATTGTGTCAAATAAAGAACTAGAAGCAACAAAATGTTTATTGAAACAGTTCAGGATCTCATGCTTATTTGACACAGGAACAGAGTTAACGAGAAGTTGTGATGGGAGGTCAGATGATTGGGGGCTGCCTGAGAGAGATTTGATGGTTTTCCAGAATCTGTTGGGGTCATTTTGAGGGTTCTGAAGTACCATCTGTTCCTAGGACTGCACTCTTCTGGACAGAAATCTCTGAGGTTGTTCCTGGGATCTGTTGGAGCCACTCTTCCAATCTGGGGGTCACAGCATCAAATGCTCCAATGACCAATGGAACTACTGATGCTTTGAATCTCCGCAGCTTCTGTTTTTCTCTTTCAGCCCTTCATATTTCTCTTCTTCCTGATGTTACAGTCATCTGGGATTGCTACATCTACCACCACTGCCTTCTTATCTTGCTTGTCGACCTTCACAATGGTCTGGATCTGGAAGTCCCTCAGTATCTTAGCCCTGCCTTTCTCCACCAACCTTGGTGGTATCTCTCACTTTGACTGTGGGCCTTCCAGTCCATGCTCAGAACAGATGTTTCTGTACTCTATATTACTCCAGCCACTTTGTTACTGTCAGGGTTTCAGGACAGGACAGGTAGAACCCAGTGGTGCAGGCAGGACTTGGAGACCAGGCAGCGTAAAATCAAAATACTCTTTAATAAAATTAAAGCTGACATGGCAGCCAAGACTTACAGGACAGGTCAGATTCTTTGGAAACACCAGGACAGGACAGGACTATATCCAACGATGCGCCAACACTGAACAGGACTCTTAGACAGACTTAAATACACACATAATTAACAAGACAAGTGCCAACACCTGTGGAGCGTCACAGGTGCAGGGAGACGGGGAGTGATGACAGAGGGAGAGCAGGACAGAAACACAACACAACAGGGTACCATCCCCACAGTTATGGCTTTCCATGTATGGATATACATGAAATGTATATTTATACACTATATCCATGTATATACCAGAAAATGTGCTGAGCTCTATGAGACTGCAAACAAAAGCAAGGCAAGCATGGTGAAGATAAACATAATTACAAAAACAAGCTCAAACACAGAAAAAGCACAGGATCGTGACCAGATCTCAAAGTACCGGTATTTGTATGGTGGAAATTTTTTAAAAAGTTACAAATATAAAATGTCTGTCCCAGACTGAGCTGAAAGTTTTGAGATACAAATAGTTCAAATAGATGAGAAAAACCCGAAGTAGTTACAGTCCAGTAAATGTACAGAAGACATGAACAGAAAAGCAATAGCAGCATGAACGCTGACTCAGCTTTAACTGCCCTGGATTATTTCTTACACTGATATTTATACAGCTGCTTGGTGTTGTTTTCCTTTATTCGGGGGAACTGAACTTGTTTCATTTAATGATGGTAATTTATTTAGGCTCCAGCTAAAATAAAAATAAAAATGTTGCAAACAGCATTAAGTACTCTGTTAATAACAACTATCTGATGCTGGTTGTATTTGAACTTATTCTGCACAGGGTTCTCATTATTCTGAATGCAACTCCTGCTGGGTGACAAGCGAATGCAACAAACACTGGAGAAGCCCCAGGATCATCCTGATTGGATGACCTGATTGGATTAGCATCAACGTGTGGCATGGAGGCTGCACAGCTGCAGAAAGAAAAGCTTTGCAGAGAGTGGTGAAGGCTGCACAGAAGTCTGTCGGAATCAGCCTCCCCACCATCACAGACATCTACACCTCCAGATGCAGGAAGAGGGCCACCTGCATCATGAAGGACCCCACTCACCAGCACACACACTTTTTGCCCCACTCCCCTCAGGAAGGAGGTTGAGGAGCATTAAGTGTAGAACCACTAGACTGAGGAACAGCTTCTACCCTGAGGCTGTTAGACTCATGAATCTCTAACCAGAATAATCACTGTGAAAAATCACATCATGTTGCTGCTGATCTGTTTCAATGTTGATGTGTTCATGCGTGCACATCCGCTCACACAGACTCATGTTCATGTTTGTGCTGATGTTCAATGTTTTATGTTATGAGTGCTTAGTGTATATTTAGTTTATGTTTTTCTTAGTTCATATCTTAGATGTTTTTACTGTTTTTCTTATACATTTTATTGTTGGATGTAACTGGGACCCTGTGTACATAATTTCGCTCCACCACATGTACCACATGAGGTGCGAATGACAATAAAGAATTGAATCTCGGACTCTAACTCTGAGAAGATTAATAGAGGAACCCATGCCATTTGTGGTTAAGGCAGCCACACAGTCTCTCCCACTCGTCTATAATGGTGATAGTGGATTAGTTATTTTCCAGAAATATGCTTTTGCTCACTGTTTGAGGTGAATAAAAAAGACATCCAACCAGAAAAACCAATTCAAACCCTATAGTATTTTAATTTTGTGGCCAAATCTGACTTATTTAAACTTGTTTGGTCCATCTATAAAGATGCTTTTACTTGTTCTGCCTCAGGATACTTAAACCTTTGCAGAAATAATACATTCACACATGATTATAACTTGTAGATGATGTTTGTGTGGATATTGGTGAAATGAAGTATGAACAAGAGAAAAACAATACTCACCTCTGTTGTTGTGCAAGGGCTGTATTTATCTGCAGAGACACAAGAAAGCAACAAATAAGCCCCAACAAGAACTGTGCACACATGAGCACATCACAACAAGACAATGAGTCACACACTGCATGAATGCTGCATGTGGCAATGATTGTGCCATTTCATAGTTTGCATTGTTTCAGAACTTAAAAAAATATTTTAAGGTCTTTATTTGCACTAATGAAAAAGTGTGACACAATTTGTTCAAAATAAATATAATAAATAACTTCTTTACACAGCTCAACCTTCTTACAGTGCACGCTTTAATAAAACTACTGTTTGGTTTCTAATCTTCATCAGTTTGTGTTGCATGTGATACAGTAGATGATGACAAAACTTCTTGTACAAAACTGTGTCACATGAGCGCACCCCCCTGTCTGAAAAGACGACCCTCAGATCCTCTTGCAGGCTGCATCCGCCCGTTTTCACTTCATGATCGAACCAACAGCTGATCCTTAGAACAAGCGGTGCTTTTGTTTGGTAACAAAGTTCATGCTCAATCATTCAGGTATCAAATCCAATAATTCTCAGTCAGGTCATCTGGACAGTTTCTTTTTTTAGAGACGTTTTGCCCTCTATCAGGAGGGCTTCATCAGTCTGAGTTCCAGTAAACTGTTTCCCCACCAAGCAATAAACTTCTTAAGTGGACCAACCGGTTAACCTGGAACTGCTCAGGCTGATGAAGCCCTCTGGATAGAGGGCAAAAGGTCTCTATAAAAAAGGGAAATGTTCAGATGACCAGACTGAGAATTATTGGATTTGGTACCTGGCTGATTGAGCATGAACTTTGTTGCCTTGAACCACTTTGGCTGTGGCTGCCTGCCTGGGGGAGTCGATGGGGGACAGGATGGCCCCCAGAAACCATCTTAGCTCCAGCAAACTGGTTGGTCCACTTAAGAAGTTTACTGCTTAGTGTGGAAACAGTTTACTGGAACTCCTCCGACTGATAAAGCCCTCCGGATAGAGGGTGAAATATCTCTGTAAAGGCCTGCTGGATTTCAAGAAAACCACATGCAAGGGACTTCACAACCTCATCTGGAGTAGAACCAAATAAAATAGTGTCATTGGCATGAATGAGTGGAGGCCTCACTGTGAGATATCATTTATAAATATAGAGAAAAGAGTTTGACCAAGAATGGAGCCTTGGTGTACACCTGACATAACTGTAAGAAATTGTTAAGTATGAGAGTCAACATTCACTTGCTGCGACCTATTTGAAAAAATTACGGAACCATGTTTTTTCATTCAACCTTTATTTAGACAGGTAAATTCCATTGAGCCTCGAGGACTCATTTACAAGAGAGACCTGATTTCAACAAAGAATGATGACAACAATAGACAGTTTTAAAAAGGCATACAGATTTTTTTTTTTTTAACAAATAGGATGGCTAATTAAAAAAAGTAACAAAAACAGCTAGATTATAAGGCAAATGTAGAAAACTAAAAACAGGAACATGTCTGCATTGGTCCCTGCCAGGAGTCCAGCAGATTCTTAAAGCCACTTAGAGAGGTCAAGGTCGAGAGCTTCAGATCTTTTTGTAAGATATTCCAGGAAATAGGAGCGGAGTAGGAGAAGGCCCTTTTGCCAAGTTCAGTCCACACAGAGGGAACACTGCAGGTAATAATGTCCTGAGAGCGCACGCTGTAGCTGCACTCATGCAGAGACATGTTGGAGGAGATGTATGAAGGCAGCAGACCAAGAAGTGATTTAAAGATGAAAATGTACCAGTGAGAGAGTCTGCGTGAAGTTAATGATGTCCAGTTAACCAGTGAATACAGGGTGCAGTGGTGGGTACGATAATCACAGCCAGTTATGAATCTTAGTGCACCATGATAGACAGCATCCAACATCTGCAGGGTTCTTGTAGGAGCGTTCATGTAAATAATGTCATCGTAATCACAGGATCAGCCCTCAATTGGTTCAGATCTTACCTCACTGACAGATCCTTTTGTATCTCCATCAAGGATTTTAGTTCCGCAGAGGCAGAGCTTAAATGGGGGGTTCCGCAGGGGTCCATACTGGGTCCCCTCCTATTCTCTTTATACCTGCTGCCGCTTGGTGCTATTTTCCGGAAACACAACATGCCCTTCCATTTCTATGCCGATGACTGTCAAACTTACTTCCCCCTAAGACACAATGGTACATGCTCTATTCAACCGCTGCTCAACTGCCTGGCTGACATCAGGGACTGGATGGCTTTAAATTTCTTAAGGTTCAATGAAAAGAAGTCTGAAGTCATGTTGTTCCCTCCCAATGACACGATCACAAACCACTGCATCGACCTTTCCGCTCTAACCCTGTCAGAAAAACAAAGAGTCACTAATCTGGGCATGATAAGACGGCTGAGGCGAGCTGGTCTGGGAAGCTCAGTCCTCACCTCCTTCTACAGGTGTGCAGTGGAGAGCATCCTGTGCTCGAGTATCAATGTGTGGCATGGAGGCTGCACAGCTGCAGAAAGAAAAGCTTTGCAGAGAGTGGTGAAGGCTGCACAGAAATCTGTTGGAATCAGTCTCCCCACCATCACAGACATCTACACTTCTAGATGAAGGAAGAGGGCCACCTGCATCATGAAGGACCCCACCCACCCAGCACACACACTTTTTGCCCCACTCCCCTCAGGAAGGAGGTTAAGGAGCATTAAGTGTAGAACCACTAGATTGAGGAACAGCTTCTACCCTGAGGCTGTTAGACTCATGAATCTCTAACTAGAATAATCACTGTGAAAAACCATATCATGTTGCTGCTGATCTGTTTCATGTTGCTGCTGATCTGTTTCATGTTGCTGCTGATCTGTTTCAATGTTGATGTGTTCATGCGTGCACATCTGCTCACAGACTCATGTTCATGTTTGTGCTGATGTTCAATGTTTTATGTTATGAGTGCTTAGTGTATATTTAGTTGATGTTTTTCTTAGTTCATATCTTAGATGTTATTACTGTTTTTCTTATACATTTTATTGTCGGATGTAACTGGGACCCCGTGTACATAATTTCGCTCCACCACATGTACCACATGAGGTGCGAATGACAATAAAGAAACTCTGACTCTGACTCTGACTGACTCTGATAATGGACCCTTCCCTGAAGCTTAACAATCATGTAAACATGATTGTTAAATCATACTTCTTCCAGCTGAGGCGGCTGTCTAAACTGAAGCCCATATTGTCCAAAAATAACCTGGAGACAGTAATACATGCATTCATTACATCTAGGCTTGATTACTGCAATTCGCTCCTGTTTGGTATCAGTCAGACCTCCATTGCACGACTACAACTGGTCCAGAATGCAGCAGCCCGATTTTTAACCAGTACAGGCAAAAGAGAGCCCATTATACCAGTTTTGGCCTCACTGCACTGGTTACCGGTTCACTTTCGAATCCAGTTCAAAATACTCATGTATGTCTACAAATCACTGAACAGTGTCGCCCCCCCATCTCTCTGATTTGCTACAACCGTATGTCCCACCACGCTCCCTGAGGTCAGCGGACCAGTTGCTCCTCACAGTTCCAGGAACTCGTCTTAAGCGCAGAGGGGACAGGGCCTTCTCTGTAGCAGGACCAAGACTTTGGAACGAGTTACCTCTGCTTGTCAGACAGGCCCCCTCCCTCTTGGTTTTCAAGTCCCGTTTAAAAACTCACTACTATTCAATAGCTTTCAACACAAGATGATCTGTGTTTTGATCCTGTATGCTCCACACTGGTTTGTCGTCATTACCTGCATCGTTTTTTGTCTATATTATGATTTACCTCATTTTGTATTTTGCTTTGTGTGTTACCTGTTGTTTTGTCTGTACAGCACTTTGGTTGGCCTTGTTGCTGTTTTAAGTGCTTTGTAAATAAAGTGGTATGGTATGGTATGGTATGGTATGGTATGGTATGGTATGGTATGGTATGGTATGGTATGGTAATCAATGGAGGGAAGGAAAGTCACAGTTACAAGGCGTTTCCTAGCATTCAGAGTTAGACAGGATCTGTTTCTGAAAAAGAAACCCAGTTTAACTTTCAGTTTCTTTACTAAGGTTATTTTCACACCAGATAGTTCGGTAGACTCGGTTCAGTTAGGGACCAATAACATTTTGTTTACATTTGAGCTGTTGCATTTGCATTCACACTGCATTGTGCAGTCGAGTCAACCTGTTGAACCAACCTGTTACCCCGCTCGCCTGTGGGGGTGCTGCACCAAGAACTACTGAAAGAAACGACACAAAAATCTCTGAAGACACTTCTTCTTCTGGAAATAAAAACAAAAATGGAGTGGCATCAAGTTTTAGTAGTTTTAGGAGTTATATTTTGTCATTTTTCAAAAATGGACTCAGCATGAGCAGAAGATGAGGCAGAAGACAATGGAGAATATTGTTTTTCACACAAGGTAGCGGACGGCTCCATATAAGGTAAGAGGGATGCGTGTTTGTTTGCCCTGCGCTGTACTCTTCTTCTTGCTTGTGGAGCAGGGCCCGGTCTGCTAACATTCACACTGTACTCGAACCGCGCTGGAGTTTTCTTCTACCGGACCGAGACCTAGGTTTTAGTCGGGGCCAGAGTTCGCCTTTTAGTTCAGTGACAGAGTTTGATGATGCATTCACACCTCCCCAAACGAACCGGACTTCCTAGGAAAACGAGCTACCAACCAATGGTGTGATCTGAGAAACCGATTTCTGAGAGTTTATGACACAAGATGTTATGATCCACAGTGTCAAAAGCTTTAGACAGGTCTAAGAAAAGTGCAGCACAATAATCCTTAGCATCCAGTGCTTCAACAACATCATTACGAACCTTCAGTGAAGCAGTGGTTGTGCTGTGTTGTTTCCTGAAACCAGATTGATGTGGAGGTAAGATGTTAAATGAGTCCAGGTAATTTTTGATTTGAGAGTTTATCAGTTTTTCTAGAACCTTGGCTAAAATGCAGAGTTTAGAGATTGGTCGATAGTTGTTCAGTGAGGTGGGGTCACCTCCCTTCAGCAAAGGAAGAACAAAGGCTGTTTTCCAAGTGTCTGGGATGGAGTTTTGTCTTATGGAGAGATTGAAGATGTGGGTCACAGGGACTGTGATGATATGAGCAGCCAGCCTTAAGAAATAAGGTGGAAGTTCATCTGGACCTGCAGATTTTTTAGGATCAAGATCTTTTAACAGTTTATTGACCTCACTGACTGAGAATGGAGAAAAAGAGAAGCTGTGATTAACTGAGGATTGACTTGTAGGAGGGATTTGATTTGTAGAAGTTTGATTATTAAGTGAAGTGGCTGATTTTCCATTAGTAACTGTGTCAAATAAAGAACTAGAAGCAACAAAATGTTTGTTGAAACAGTTCAGGATCTCGTGCTTATTTGACACAGGAACAGAGTTAATGAGAAGTTGTGATTGGAGGTTAGATGATTGGGGGCTGCCGGAGAGAGATTTGATGGTTTTCCAGAATCTGTTGGGTTCATTTGGATTTTTGGAGGTCTGAGATAAGAAATAGTTGCGTCTTGCTGCTTTGACAGCAGTTGTGCATTTATTCCTCATCTGTCGAAAACTCAACCAATCAGTGTCTGAGTCAGATTTTCTCGCTGCGGCCCAAAGATGATCTCTCCTGTGCAGGAGGTCAGTTAGCTCTGTAGTAAACCAGGGGCTGTCTCGTCCCTTTATTCTGAACTGACTAAAAGGAGCATGTATGTTCAGAAAATAAATGAAACTATTATAAAAATAGTTCCAAGCCGTCAGTGGCTGTCCCGAAATTCTAATACGGTCAAGTCGTTTCAATAAGTTGGAATGATCAACTGAGTCCAAAGCGTTTGCTAAATCTATGAATATTGCTGCACATTACTGTCTGGAGTCCAGTGCAGATGCTATATTGTGGAGAACTTTCAGAGCGGCCATAGTGCAACCAAGCCATGAATGAAAACCAGTTTGGTTGCTGGACAAAATATTAAAAACCTTCAAATAATGGGTTAGCTTTAATAATGTGTCAGTTTTCAGCCTGACATTAAGTCTACTTGTAACAAACACAACTTATTAATATTTGTGGGGGTTCTCTAGAGGTTTGAAGTGTGTATTACAATACAGTATGTAATATTACCTAGAACTAGACATAACAGAAAAGAATCCTGCAACAAGAAGAAACGGACTGTGAGATTTGAAATGTATCTGGATTAATTTAAAGCCAGTTTCAAAAATGAAATTTTCAAAAGATAAATCCATAAAGGATTCTATATCAATTCATCTCATTATTTACAAGACTGACTCTGACCAGCTGAGCTAAGAAGGAGCTAACCCTGAAAAGAGCAGCAAAACGTTAGAGAAACCACGTTTCACCCACTGGTAAAACACACTGTCAACGCAGGAGTTCTGACTTTTAAATACATGTGACAACAGAACGTAGAAAAGCTTTATTATTCCTGGAAGGCATCACATCACATGCCAGAGCTTAAACTAAAATCATCTTGTGCCAAAGAAATTCACTGTATTAAAGCTGTTTTGTTCAAATCTTGATAATACTGATACATTCACAATCATGATCTCACATGGTGGTGTTAGCTCTTAGAGCGTGTTCAGAATTACTCTCAGCTACTACCACACCAAATCTTAACTTAGTGTCGGGCTGTGTTTTAGCCATGTTTGTGTTGATTAACTGTGGCGGCCACCTTGACTTGGGTTGTCTCCAAATGTTAATCAGTTGCTTGTGGACGTCTAGTACTGTAAATACTTTCTGTGCGTTTCACTGAAAACTGTCCACTGGTTTATGTGATATTTTGCAAACGCTACAGATGAACAAACCTTGCACCTTCGACAGCAGGTGAGAACTAAACACGGAAACAAAACAAGACAAACGAGGCCTTTTACAAAAACACGTGTTATTAAAGAATAGAACATGAGCAGCAGTTGAATTTTTGCACAATGTGGCGTTATGCAACAGTAAGAGATTAGACTCCCCTTTTCTTCAATGGTTTCTTCCACGATTCTAAAAATAGCCCATTCATTGTGAGCATAAACACACACCCAGCATCAGAGTCGCAGCTGGGCCTCAGATTCATGCTGCATTAACAGTGTGTGTGCATGTGTGTGTGTGTGTTTACATAGGTAAGAGCACTTCCTTCTAGTAGCCCATTAGCAAATCAATTGATAGACTGACATTCACTTATCATGCTCTAAGGTAATGTAATTACAGCAAACATGTTCATGTCTGACAGATAAAAGTAAGGTGTTGGTTTGGTTTAGATGAAGCACTCTCTATTTGTTTTATTAAAAGAACTGCAGTATAATACAGTGGGTTATGTTTTGAGCCATTGATAGTTTTCTATGCAGGTGGCTCATTTGGTAGAGTTGCTGCCTCTCAGCGAGAAGGTCGCCGGTTCAAATCCCAATAGGGGGCCTTTCTGGGTGGAGTTTGCATGTTCTCTCCGTGTATGGTTTTCTCCGGGTACTCCAGTTTCCTCCCACAAACTAAAAACATGCATGTTAGGCTGATTGGTAACTCTAAATTGTTTCTAGGTGTGAGTGAGAGAGTGAATGGTTGTTTGTGTCGTTTGTCTCTATGTGTCCATGTGATGGACTGGAGACCTGTCCAGGGTGTCCCCTGCCTCTCGCACAGTGACTACTGTATATGGGCACAAGTAACCCCCCCGTCTCCGGACAACCAAAAAGAGAGAAGCGGGTAAAGATGTTGGATGGATGGATGGATGGATGGATGGATGGATGGATGGATGGATGGATGGATGGATGGATGGATGGATGGTGTGCATATGCATTCACCCCCATTTCCTTTGAAGCCACGATCATTGCATACACAAAGCCACATGACCAGGATCAACTGGCAGGTAATCTAGTGTGATGTAACCTCAGTATTCAGTAAATACTCCTGTTCTGATGGCCCCCAGAATCAACAGCAGTGAAACACCTCTAAATAGTGGGGGCCGCCATATATATATATAAATTCAGTTTTATAAAGTGGAAATCTGATGTCACACTCCAGAAGACCTGACAAAAGAGAGTGGTCCACTAAAACCCACAAACCAGCTAAGAGAACTGAAAGAGCCTGAAGATAACCCTGATGGAGCTGGGCAGCTTCTCTGCAGAGATTGAAGGATCTGGACCACAACAGCGACACAAAGATGGACTTCATGAGTGATGCGCAGAAGCCATTGTTCATAAAATAATTAACCAGTTAATAAATAATGGACTGTCTGCAGGGTGCTGGGGAAAAAATTAAACTGAACATTTAGGCCAAGAAGGACACCATCAAGTTGAGAACACTGCCCCTACAGTAAAGCATGGTGGTGGCAGCATCAGGCTGTGGGAACACTTTTCCATCAGGAGGGAGGTCTGGGAAACTGTTCAGCATTAAATGAAAGCCAGACGGAAAGAAACACAGAGACCTTTCAGCAGGACTATGAGCCCAAACATGGACACTTCATGACAACCATCCTGGTCCTGGTCTGAGGTCACACCTCAGTAAATAAGGTCCAACTATTGATTTAAGGATTGTTAGACACTAGTGGCACCACCAGGAGCTGCAGCAGTTTCATCATGGAGACTGGACTATAAACAGGTTACATGGACCACGCTTGTTCAGACAGACCTGAAGAGACTTGCTGGAAAGTTGACTCAGTTTTAGAAGATTAAAACATTTGCACGCGCCATTTCTCACTGATTTAGTTTAAGGATAGTTTAAACATTTTAACGTTGTTAATCTAACGTCATTTTAGTAGAATTTTTAATCAGATTAAAAGTCAAATTGCAACGCATGGTACATCAGGAAGAACGCTTTTCAAACACTCTTCTCTGAGTTCATTAGATTTTGTAAAAATCTTCAAGTGTTCTCTTGTAGGCAAACATTGGATGAGAGGCACGTGAGCCTCCAGGTGGTCCAGGGGTGGAGATCAGATCTACTAAGTCCAGTCAGGCCACATTTGTGCTTGAATCAGATGGAGCAGAAGGAGCACTGATCTGATGTGAGGAGGCAAAACAAGCTTTGATGAAGCACGCACACACGCACACGCACGCAGGCTGGTGATGAGGGGTGGTCAGGTGAATCAGGGCCAGCAGCAGGGTCTGAGGCTTCTTTTGTGTGGGATCTGATGTGAAGGAGCCTCGTTCAGCAGAAACACCCATGCAGCCATCTTTTAAAGAATGAAGCTGAACATGTTGTTTGTCTGAATCAGCTGTTGGGCCCAACAGATCGTGTCTAATATTTAACTCAGCCCTCGTGCACAACTATAGGCTCCATGTATTTCTGGGGTTTATTTGAGGTCTTTTTCCTCCAAACACATCTGATCTGAAGAGCCTTCAGTACACCGAGTCCTGACATGTTACCTCCACAGCCGAGCTGATCCACCCTCACCGAGCCGTCCTTCTCGATCCGAACATCCCCCGGTCCTGAGATCCTCCACGGGGCCGCCGCGGGTGATGCTCCGGCGGCGGCGGAGCTCCGCCCGCCCCGGTGCTTCTCCGCCAGAGTCCGGCAGCACTGGTAGCACACCGCCCATGCCTGCTCCTCGTTGATGGGCTGGTTGTAGAGGTTCAGGATCTCCCCCAGGGACAGGTCCTCCGCTCCGGCCTCCTCCGGTGGATTCATCGCGCCTCCGCGCCGCTTCTCCTCCCGGAGAGTCGCTGCTGCAGCCTCCGTCATCCTCCCAGCATCCTGTCAGCGCGCGAGGCCGGAAGAGAGCGGGTCCAGGCCGGGGAGCGGAGAGGGGGCATGGATGCTCCGCTGTCCTCCCCCCTCGATGCACCCCCACAGCAGGCAGCGGTCCGCCCCGCCCGCCGCGCGCTCACTTTTAATTTCCAGGCGTCATAAGACGGTGCTGGTGGTGCGTGTCCAGCCTCTGTGATTTGAACATTCACGACGCGCGCGCGCGCGTGTGTGTGGGCGGGGGTGTCAGCAGGATCACTTCATCACATGATTGGTCTGTTTCACACCACACTCTGTTATTTATTATTTATTATTTATTTATGGCATCATTTTGCTGTTCTGATTCCTACACTGGAAAAACTGCGGGGTTGTTTTGATAACTCCACATTAGGTTAAAGTTGTTGGGATTTCCAGAGTTTAGTGTCCTTAAAAAAAAAAAAAAAAAAAGTTCCGACAGGAAAAGGTAAAAGTATAAAAAGCTTTTATTGTGAAGGATGGAGGAAGTGCCTCCAGTGTTGGCACTTTGCCACCATATGAACTTCATGTTGTAGTGTTCAGCATGTTGGGTAAAATGTCTCCCAGTAGTCTTTAGGAATGAGACGTACTGTAAACTTGGTCTTGTGAGGATATATTAACCTAAATGTGGAGGAAAAAAAGTTATGTTTGATTTTTGGAGTCTTTAATGTTCAGATCATTTATGGAAACACAATTTAAGAAAGTTTAACTTAAACATCTTGGACAAAAGCATAAAACACCTTTAGATTAAGGCTAGAACTTTTTTAAAATGTTTATCTGATACAATGCAGGTCTTAATCAGCTTTTTAAAAAGTCATTTTCTTTTCAATTAAGATTTTTTGGGGGGGGGAATTATCAAAGCCCTAGCTTGGATCATGTTGCTCATGTCTGGGTTAGACTGGGAGTTTAACTGCATTTGTTTGTAGGTTTGACTTATTTTGGTTGAATGTTAATAATAAATTATTGTAAAATTGTAATACAAAAACAACACTGAGCTCAAGACAATTGTTACCTTCAAGTCATTGTGAAATCTCTTAACGTTTTGATTATTTCTCCTAATAAAAGTTTCAAAAAGAAAAAAAATGGTTACTTTTACAATACAGTACTTGTATGAGGTGTACTTACATCTTACTGAAACGTGCTCGTTATAACCTGCACTTTATGAGCCGTAAATCTGAACAAATACGAGGAGACTGGTGTGATGGCTGCATTCTGGATGACTTCTGCTCACGGAGCAGGTTTCTTTGAAATGAGAGCTTCTCTCATAAGGTTCTACTACTCCACACCCCGATGATGCACACACCTCCTGTTCACCTCCGTCACAGGACCACCACCAAACAAAGAAGTCTGAACATTTTCAATCAGCCTCCAAATCAGAAACCAACATTGCTGCTCAGGCTGTAGTTTGTCTTAATTTACACATAAACTCACACATTTAATGATTTAAATCATATTTAATCATTCAGTGGCCTCCACAATATTCAGATATAGATCTCTTATTGACAGCAGGTACAACACACATCACATCTTGGTTGACAACATCTGTAGGCTTCGCCCAGAGTCTCTGAAACACATTCCAGATGTGGTCGCCATAGGAACAACGATGACGCCGCCCATGTGTAGACACAAATCTCTGAACACTGACAGCTATAAATACACACCAGCACATGTGGAATGACAGGAAATATACACCCTCCAGCTATTCACCTGCACGGCTTAAGATGGAACAAAACTGAACAAAAAAAGGATTTAAGGTTTCGTGTTGGCTGTAAAAGTGGTAGAAGCTTGTTGAGGAGCCTTTTCACCACAGAGTGATCATGCAGCAGCTGATGGGGAGGGCACAGGGCGTGGAGAGAAGACGGCAGGAGAGGAGGAGGAGGTTTGACCCACGAGGAAGATAAATCAATCAACACTCAGCGTGTCGGCACAAATATGGCAGCTGATTAATTAAACTTTAAAATCCAGCAGGTTGCAGTCAATCTTGTAGTAAACGTAAGGATAATATTCCTGCTGGTTCAGGTTCAGGCCTGGGATGTCCATCGTAGACTGGAGAAGGAAAACAAGAGACAGCAGTTAGTAATCTGGATGAAGCATGTGCAGGACGAACATGACCAGACTGAAAGCAATAGCAACAAAAGCAAAAAAAAAAAAAAAAAAAAGGTAAAGTGTGGAAAGATTTCAGAAAACGTTCCATTTTAAAGACTACAAAACAAAAAAACACTAAAGAGTGAACACAGCAACATTTATAGAGACGTCAGGATGAGATTAAGAGTTTGTCTGGTTACACTGAGCTGAAAGTCACAATCTGCTTGTGCTGCACATTTGGAGTGTTTAAAATCTGTAGTCACTACTTTTTATACAGTTTATATATACATATATATATATATAAATAAAACTTTTGTTTTATATTCTACTGTTTTGACTCTGACTCTCGACGCAATCAACAAAATCTTTTCAAGAAAGCGACAGAGTCCTGGAGAGCCCTCATACTCCGCTGAGAATCTCAGGAGGACGGCGAAGACATATACAACTGGATTTATAATAACAAGTTTCCTGCTTTTTGGAAATCGAGTGGTTCCTGGTCTATCAACATACAAAAAGACAGCTGCAGCTAATTTGGCCCTCGTCAGGTTGCCTGCTTGATTGGTTCGTGCTTTGAGGACTCAAAATCAGCTGATTTACGAGCTAAACGGTAAGATGGAAGTGATATGAATCGCAGGCCACCTGCGGCTGTGGGACTCGCCAGCATGAAACAACCTTGGAGGGACTCGTAAGCACGGACCAGTAGAATGCAGCCTAATCTGGTCATTTCAGATCTTGAAATTCCAGCAGGACTCGAGGCTGACAGGAAAAAAATAGTATACCTGAATAAATCAACAGTTGTGACTTATTTCAATCTGACTCCCCTGGTTGGGCTCAAAAACAGGCCGACTTATCAATTTATCAATTTCTCCTGGGAAATGTGTAAACTAAGGAAAAGCTTCGTCTATCACAAACCCCCCCCCCCCCCCCCAACCAACTTCTGTGGAGGCTTATCAGAACTGTGCCAGCTGACCATCATCTTATAATGGATATTGGACTATTTGGAAGTGCTCCATGGACCGCCTCCTCGTCAAATGCATATGTAACGTGTTCATAAATGTGCTTACTGGCAGAGTTTTTGACGTCTTAAATTGTGTCCTGTGAGGAAAAGGTGTGAAGAGATCTTTTTTGTAATGCCTCTATCCTCTCCTCATGGCTTTGTTCCCTTTTTCTATCTAAAAAATTTATTCTGAAAAGGATAAGAGGGCGCACTCTCAAGGAGCAGCAGCTACGTGCACTGTGCCCATCTTTCAGACGACTGCGGACATATTCTCGTTGTTTCTTGGTACAATGATTATAAAGCTTATTCTGATTCTGATTTTTACTTTCGCTCTGGGAAGCAAACCCAAATTTCGATGTACAGTAGTCCCTCGCTACTTTGCGGTTTGTTTATTGCGGACCCGCTCTATCGTGGTTTTTCAAAATAAGTCTGGACATGACACACAGTTGGCTGATGGATGGATGAGCCGCATGATCGGCATGAAATTTTTATTTAAAATAAATTATTTGAAATTATTTAGCATCTGCTGCACAAATTTTTGTGCAGCCCAGAGCAGCAGAAAAAGCTTCTTCCTGCACCTTTGTGTAGCTCGCACTGCAGGATAAAGTTCCTGCTGCAGAAGATAAGATGTTCTCCGTGCAGAGCTGAGAAGTGGGCGTGGCCAAGAGCGCTTGCAGGTGGCTGAGAGCAGAGGAGCTGAAATCATGACCTTCTGTGCTCTTTAAGAGTGTTTAGAATTTAGAAACATTGTTTAGAATATTGCAAGAGTGTGGGAAGAATTTAAAATGTCTTTACACACACACACTTCACCACTTGCTCTTGCCGAGGTCAGACGCTTTTCCCCTCCTCTCCTTCTCCGCTTTGCTGCTCTGTTTGTCTGTGAAACTGCTTCTGAGCCTCTCTTGCATATCTTCTGAACCATAGTTATGGACTTGATTTGATCAGTTGCTCCCTCAACACAATTGATAACAGTTCTTTGAAGAGAAGACAGGCTTTAGGTGAGTCGATTTGCCCTGTTGGCACGCACGCAGCTGGATATCTCATCAACTTGAAGACTTGATGATGTGTCTATCTCTGCTGCCACTTGTGGATTTTAAGGACGTATATTTAATTGGATTTACAATAACTGGTTCCTGCTTTTTGGATTCGGCTGGTTGCTGATTGTTTTATCAACAATCAAGGAAGTCGTCGGCAGCAAATTTGGACCCGATCGCGCTGCTTGCCTTTATGATGACTTGGTTCGTGCCTCGAGTACCCGGACTCAAATGCTTTGGGCAGAATGGATCAGATCTCGGGGATTTTACTCAGTCATGTTCCATTGGTGCGGCCATGTAATTTGGACATTTCGGAACCAAGTGGACCGACACATACTCAAGGTAGATTTCATTAAGTTCTGCCTGTCCCCAAAACAACTGTGTGTTTATCTGAATTTGGCTCCCTTGGCTGGCCTTGAAGGTCATCTTATCTGAATTCGCCTGGAGAACATGTGATCTGACACTACTTGTGCTACTATTCCTACTTCGTAGTTTTTCACTTATTGCAGGTCTTCAGGGTACGAATTCCCCGTGATAAACGAGGGACTACTGTATTTATGTGCAATGATAATAAAGGTCTATTCTCTTCTAGGCCCTTTTTGACCTTGAATAAATCTCCATGGAAGCTGCAGCCTGTTGGCTTGTTCTTTTGTTAATGATACTCCAGAAAAACTGACTTTTGACCGACAAAATTGACTTTTGTCTTTTTACAAAGTCAGTTTGTTGTGGAGGCCATCTTGAATCAGCTTGATTCCAAAAGTTAACTGGTTATAGATCAAATGATTTATTTCTGCAAGTTTCATTAAAATTTGTTGAGTGGTTTAAGATCTCTGGGTAACAGTCCACACAAGCACATGCACGGGCAAAAACAATATTGCCTGCCTCTTCCGTTTGCTGCCCGAACCTGCCCCGGGCAGTGTGCGACAATTGTTTTTATAAGCTTATCAGCTCTCACAGCTCACAGACAGACACTGATGACCTCGGCCATCCAGCTGCACATGCAGGATCAAATGAGCTCCTCATCCAGCCTTCTTTGAGAGAAGAAAGAACTCTCTGCTAACTCAAACACATGGTTCATGGGCAGTTAACATTCTCAGTCATAGTAGTTAAAAACATCCATAAACATTGACCAAAATCCATCCTGAGTGAATAACCGTGAAATGCAACATTGACAGCAGTGTAAGGGTTTTTGAAAAAGCATTAACTTCTCAGACATTTTGGAGATTAGAGACAATTTAAGACTGCATCAATCCACTTTAGTTATAAAGACTAGCCATTAGCTCGTCAGTCCTGTCGGACAATTATTTCTTCAAACCAAAACCCTTTAATGAGATAAATTGATACTCTTAAGCACAACATAAAGATTTTTCTTTTTAATTTGAACTACCTAATACCCAACATTTTTCAGTCAAGTCATCTGGACAGTTTCTTTTTTCGTGCTGAAACGATTCGCCTTCTATCCAGAAGGCTTCATCAGTCAAGGAAACACTCAACAAAACTGATTCTTCCCCCAACAGCTTACTCCAAAGTGGAACAAACCAGTTCTGCTTGTGATAAGATAGTCCCTTTGGTACGCCCCTCCTCCATTGCCGGTCCTCTTCCTTGTTGACAAGTCTTGTCAAACTGGTTGAAAACAACTGATGAAGCCTTCCGGATCGAAGGCGAAACGTTTCAGCACAAAAAAAAAGAAACTGTCCAGATGACCTGACTGAAAAATGTTGGATTTTATACCTGGATTATTGAGCATGGACTTTGTTGTTAACTACCTAATACCTTTACCTTAGCTAGCTTTATTAGCTATTTTGTTTATGGAGTACTTTATTTAGTACAACGCGTAAGAAAACAAATATTGTCAAGTTTTCATTACCATAGATAATAATCAGTGTGTATTTATGGTTATAAACATGGCGTCATGTCTATGCTGCTTGTAGATGTGCAGCGTGTTTCTCACAGGGAGGTATTTCCGCAGTGTGTCAAGAAAACACTCACATCGATGATCGCTGCTGCACTGCTGTCCAGATGTTTGTACAGCTCATTCAGCACCTCCCTCAGCTTCTTCGTGGTCTTCTTGTTTGGCTGCAGGAGCATGGCCTGAAAGTTCACCGGCAGCCCGTACCTGGAAGAAGATCACAGGAGGCGACGTCGTTCAGCCACACCGAGCAGTGACTGCTGCCACTACACAAGCAGTGTGTAGCAGTACTGACGAGGTAAAAGACAACAACCCAATACCTGAGAACTGATTCAACAAAGACTCTGAGAGCTTTAATATGAATCCAAGCGATGAAGGCTTCACTGAAGTTCACTTTCAACCATCGGACGAGGGGACCCTGCAGACAAGCAGCAGATCAGGGTGACAATCACCTGCTGACACGTTGTTTTTCTACCAAACCACCAGAACTAAAATGACCCTGTTCCTACATCTTTAGAACATGAGGCCGTCCTGAAATGCAGTGAGTTACCAAATAAAAAGAAGCTGATGATAAAAACATCTTGGTTCATATTGTCTGCTATGAAATAAAGTCAAACTGAACGTGTTCTCTTTGCCGTCTCAACTTCTGTCACATTTAGGGCTGGTAACTATAAATAGTGTAGATGGAAATTGTTTTCGGACATGGGCACCAGCGACCCCCGTGACCCAAAATGGAATAAGCGGGTAAAGAAAATGGATGGATGGATGGATGGAAATTGTTTTCATATTGTACAAGATCTAAAGGATGCAGAAGGAACACAAAGCGAATGGTTCTTGATTATTTATATTACTTTCTACTCAAAGTTTATTTATTGAGCTTGGTTTAGCCAGACACTGAGATCAGAGAGCTCTTCGTCAGGGGAGGATTGAAAGCAGCTCACGTTTCAACTCTCTTCAATTGAACTGAACAATTTAAAATAAAAGCTCGGCTCTCGTTCACGTACAAACTGCTTCTTCTTATCTGTGGAGAGCCGTGTCATCTCCTCTTTGTCGGCCTTCAGCTCCTCCTCGTTGTACTGGAAGTCTCTCACTGTGAACCTGCGAGGACAGAATCAGCTTCATTCACACACAAACATACTGCTTTGTAAAAATGAAAAAATACAGTGTCCCGATGCATGCGCAATAATCCAGGTAGAAAAATCTAACAAGGTTAAGTCAGGTCCTCTGGACGGTTTCTTTTTTGTTTAATATTTTATTCAAAAGACCAGTCCAGTCATAAATAGTAGTGTATAGTAGTACTGCTTATACAATCTCATACGTTGCTGTTATTGCAAGCATCACTCAGCCCCCTGGGAATAGCATACAGCCACCAGGACACACAATCAAACAGCAAACTGGTTTTGTCCTCTACAAGAAGGTGCCATTTAAAAGACTGAGTTGATTGCAGACTGAAGACTTTTGGATAAAAAAAAAAAAGGTTAAAAACAAAACAACTGGACTTTATTTGTTTTGTATTCGTTTTGTTTTTAACCTCTTTTGGGGGGATTTACCATGACCTGGATGACTGAGAATCTTCATCAGCGTAAGACTTTTGGATGAACAACAAAACATTTCAACAAAGAAGAATCTGTCCAGAGGACCCGACTTAAGTTTGTTAGAACATTAAAAAGTATTTGTCCACTTCCATAATTCTTTTGTTTTGGTCATCTCTACGTGTTTCAGTGCAACAAACAAAGTCTAATTACAGATGAGGACAACGTGAGTAAATACAAAATGTAAAGGTTTTCAAAGATAATTTCAGTTTTTGGAGAAAAGAGCTTTTGTAAAACAGAGTTCAGTCTCATTGATTACTGCCAGACCTGTAAAACCAAGAAATCACCTAAATAGAGTCATTTTTTACAAAGGGAGAAATTGTAGAACTGTGGTGAACCTTCAGGAGTGGACGACTGAATCACCCCCAGAGCTCCTCAATGACTCACCCAGGAGGTCCCAAAAGAACCCAGATCATCTAAAGCCCTGTTGGCATCACCTGCATCAGTTAGGGTCAAAGTTTATGAATTAACAAGAAGAGACAAAAATGGCCTCCAGTAGAAAGTTTCAAGGCAGAAAGAACTTTGTGTAACTAGTGTGGACTGAGGAGACTCGTGCAGCTCTGTGGAAGGTGTGCGTCCCGTTCCATCTGGTGTAAAAACCAACGCTGCAGTTCAGAGAACATCAAACCGTTCAACACGGTGGTGCAGCGTGATGGTCTGGGGCTGCTTCAGGAAGAGTTGCTGTAACTCGTGGAACCATGAACTCTGCTCTACCAGAACATTCTGAAGGACGATGTCAGAACATCTGGATCGAGCTCACTTGGTTCTGCAGGACGATGATCTGAAGCTCAGCAGGAACATTCCTCACTGCCAGCTACCACAGATGTTTGATTACAGATGTTCACGTCAAAGTGGAGCATTTATTAGATTTAGGGGCAGTTACTTTTCCACACAGGACCACGGTGGTTTCTCCTAATAAATACAATCCTTTACAAACTGTAACCTTTTGTTTTTACTCGGGTTATCTCTGTCTGATGTTATTTGTTGAGGGAGAAACAATAAATCTATAAGGACAGAATCATTTTTACAGTAATGTACAAGCTCAGCTCATAACAGCTCAGGAACACAAACGTGATGATCAAATGTGAGGAAATAAGAGTTTCCTCAGCTCTTTGTTCTCATAAAGTTCGAGCTCTTTGCTGCATATTCTTTTGGCAGAGTGGCTTCTAAAGTCAGATTTATTTTCCATGGAGATACTTCACACAGAGTTTTGTGTGTGAGTTATGCAATATTTTATGACAAAAGAAGCAGAGCAGATAAAAGCTCCTACTTGCTCTCTCTGGCTTTGTGCTTGAAGTCATCGATGGCTTTCCTGAACAGAGTGACGCTGAACAGCCCGCTGTCGTAGTCCTCAAACAGCAGACTGGAAGAAAAAATGATACAGACGTGGTTAAAACAGGCAAGAACAATCACAAATTGTTTCTTTGATCTGATTTCTGGCTTACTTTGAAGAGCGAGGCACCACCATCTCAGCGAGGGTTTCATACGTTTTCTGCCAGTCGGGATATGACGACCTGAAAGAACAAAACGACATCATTCTGTAAGTAAAACGCACTTTAAAACTCAAACATCTGCATCAGTCGAGACCATTTGTGCTCACTTTGGTACAACCACCAGCAGAGTGATGAGATACTCGGAATCAAGAACAAAATCTTCTTTTCTGACAATATCAGCCAAGCTCCTGGTCAGCAGGCTCCCCCTGGTGGCAAATCTCGGTATTACAATAAAACAAACCCAGCAAAGGAAGAACATGTCCAATAAAAAAGGAGAAAATAACAAAAACATTGCTACAAAAATATGAAGGGAACAGGTGAAATGGCTTGTGGGGAACATACTTTGTAAATAATGCTCACAGTCCTCACAGATCTCTGCTCTCTTTAACCTAAATGTAATGTTTGACGTGAACGTCTGAGCACATGGACCACTCACACGTTCTTCCTTTCCAAGTTCTGCAGGTTTCCCTTCAGGTTATTATAAACCGACGCTCTGGCTTTTAAGTCATTGTCAATCTGGGATACTTGCTGAAAAAAAAAAAAACATAAATAAAGGCTAAAACTTTCCATGGCTGTCAAAACACTTTAAAAGATGTGTTTAATAACTGCAATGAACCAAAAGCTGGGTGTGAAAAATCACAACAAGCCCAGCTAACTTTATAATTTACACAAAATGATGCACAGAGATCCATAAAAACGCAGAGCGAACCTCTAGCTATCCTAATAACTAACTGACGTACCTTTGAGATGATTTCAGAGATGTTCTTAAGAGACTGTTTTATTGGGTATTTCGCCATATCCCACTGAAACCTGGTGATGTAGGTGACGAGATCAACTGGAAAACAAGAAACAGACGACGTGTCAAGCATTCCTCTGATCACAAGGCTTGAAAACTTCACAAGGTTAAAGCAGTAAGTACATATATTAGTAAAATGTGGTCGCTGCTGTACTCAATATTAATAAAGTTCCTCAGGTTTTCCTGCACAGTAAACTAGAAATAAAGTCAGAGTGAAAACAAATCTGTTTTGAGATCCGTCCAGAGTAAGGCAGCCTTGATGTTAAAACATATACTTGTTATGCTGTTGTTTTTAAATAAAAACAAGTGTTTACGGCACTTTATATCTGCGTTGGGTGATTTTACTGCAAGCGGACAGCTTTGACTGATAATGTTCACGCTCAGCCATTTAAATGTAAACCACTAAACATTTTGCAATCAGATGTCCACTGCCTGTTTGTAGTTACACACAAAGAGCTGTGGTCTGCAGACGTTTCTGTGAAACCTACAAAACATTAATTTGAACTATATTAATGCTTTGACATGAACTCAATTCTAAACCGTTTGAGTGAAACGATGTGCGGCAGCTGTCTGCTGCTTTCTGCACGGCTTTGGTCAGTTTAACATCGGCTCTGTGTTTACTCAGTTGAATATATTGTGACAAACACTTCTCAGATTAATGTTCTGCAACTGATAAGATAAGTGCTATGTGCTGTCATCATTGTATATTTCCATACAATGATGAAATTAGTTCTCTGCATTTAACCCAACACGCCTGAGATGCACCCAGGTGGAGCAGTGGGCGGCTGTGTAAGCACCCAGGGAGCAACTGAGGATTAGATGTCTTGCTCAGAGACACCACGACATGTGGGCATGGCGGGGAGTCAAACCGTGACTTCCTGGTTCCAAGTCGGCTGCCCTGTCTCTACATCATCTCATTGGAGGTTCATACGGTGACTCCAGCAGGTTCAATCAACTCTGAAACAATCAGCACCAACAAGCAGGATGCAGCAGAGAAACTCTCCGCTGCATCCTGCAGTCCACTCTGATTTATAAAAATCCCATAAAACTAAAATGTTTATATTGTTTATTGTTTTATATTCAATCTGTCCAAGTCTGAACAGGGTCTAAGACTGCTTACAGTGTATGTGTAGAATTATAAATACATCACTGCTCAGTTAACTTCATAACATTTGTCTCTTTTAAATCACTTCGGTGTTGTTGTTTTTTTACTAACTTATCAAAGCCAGAAAAGTAAAATCAGTTACATTACCTCCGTTGGCCAGCAGGTTCTCCTGCACTTTGTCTCGACTGTCCTCCAGCACATCGGCCATGTACTGAGCCACCTTCTTCACCACACTGTGAACAACCAGGAGACGTGCCAACATGACGACTGAGCTTAAGTCACACATTCTGCCGGCCCTAATGCCTCCATACACGACACAGACAGACATCAAAAAGTTTCACACGTTCCTGGTAAAGTAAATCCTTACAAGATATGGACAAGTTTCAAAGGTCAAGATTCTTAGTGACATGTTTCTGCAGCAGATCAAAGCAGAAGTAAAAACTGGAGCCAAGTCACAGAAGAAGTATAAAATCTTCAAAAGAAAGTGCATTAGCCTCTTAAGCCTAGCCTCTGATATTTGTAATGTTGATATTTGTAATTGTTGGCAAGTGCTCTCAATCTGTTGCGCTCAAAGCTGAAATAAAGCAATAGATACATAAACTGATGCAAGTTAGCACATTTTGTCCACATATGCTGGAGTGAAACTTTAAAAAGGAACTAGATGGACGACAGGCTGAAGAGAGACCGTGTTGCAAGGCTGGCTTTTCTCACAGCTGTGGAAATGCCCACAGAGGAAGCAGAGCAGAGCTCAGTCTGTAATGGCTGTGAGTTCTGAGTGTCAGTATTTCAAAAAGATTGCACTCATGCCCACATAAGTCATAAGGCATAAATATGACTAAAGACAAAGCTGCTGATGTGTCACCGATCTGTAGATTGCCAAGTTTAGACTGCTGAGCTGACTAGCCTCAAGTCCCTGTGAAATTCCCCATTGCAGGAAGGTCGAAACAGAGATTAAAGAGAACTATGATGCCGCATCAAAGGGTCAGAGGTGCATGTTAGCGTTTTGGATTATTTTTGTAAAAGAAGATAATGAAGATGAGCAAATGGGAAATGTCTGGCTTTAAAGCCAGAAAGCACAAGTAGCATACCTTTCAACAAAGGAATCTAATTTGGCCAGTTCATCTGATAGTCCCACCAAGACATCGAGCGTTCCGACCTGTTTATACACAAAGACAACAAGAAAATTCATCAGAAATCTGTCAGATTATTTATGTGGTTTGGATTATTTAAAGTGGGGTCAGCTAGTCTGTGTTTGAACATCTGAAGCTCAGTCAGCCTGCAGTGACACCCGGGGGCCCCTGTGAGCTTAGGATGGCGCCTCTTTGTCCAGATCTGCTCAGCCATCACTAACTGTTCCAGCAGTCCCATGCTGAAGCAACGTCAGCAGATAACCTCCAGTGCAGAGAGGGGAACCAAACCAGCCACACCAAGCTAATCTTTGCTCAAAGAACTTCACCTGAACGTTTCATCATGCAGGCAACCAATCTGTGCAAAGACTGCTTTCTAAATGGACAGTCACCTTACTCTTGACAGTGGCTCTTTATGGTAAGTGCTCTTCTTGTAGAGTTTAAATAGTTTAATCTTGTAAAGTGCAAGAAAGAAAAATGTGACGTTTTCCAAAATGCGATGAACACAATGTCTCTGTCCTGGAAGCATAAGAGGAGAAACGCAGCACTGTTACAAACAGGGACTCGTAGGGTCTAACCTTGAGATCCGGGATGCTGAACTTGTGGTTGGTGGACAGATTGTTGGTGCGCGTGGTGGCTGCTGTCATTTTGTCCCATGTTTGCTGGCAGGTCTTCTCTCCCGGAGCAGAGATCAACCAAAACTCAGTCATGATGACAGCTCTGATGCAGCTCCAGACAACTGAAAGGAAAGCTGAATTACAGGACTGATACGTCTTATTTCAATATTAACCTTTAATATAAGAGCAAGAAACTCTTTGTGAAGAGCTGTTACTAGACTGTAGTGCATCTAAAGCTGTGTTTACATACTGTACATTGTCTTTATGTAGCTGGTAGCAGTGCCCTAAACACCACCAGCAAGGCTAATAGAAGTAGCTCATTTATTGGATGCTAAAACCTAAACTTACTGCTGCGATCCACTACATTATTTTACCAGACATTAATAATGTTGTTGTAGTGGTAAAACAATGGTAAAAAGCTGCTATAGGTCAAGCAGCATCCAGCAGAGATTAGCCACTGTTAGCCGCCTTCTTTAGCTAACTTCGCTAACAACATCAACATCCGGCATTTTGAACCGGCTAATTAATTTACTCACCCGTGTATTCAAGGCTCGGGCGTTACTTGAGAAAGTCTAGCTGTTTGTAACGTTTCTAAACCTTGACAATCTTCATAGCTGCCATTCAGAGTAAACCGTGAGGTCTCCTGACAGCAGCATCAGAGTCAGCTGACCCACCAGGAACCGCCGAGGGAACTCAGCAGCGACACCAGCTGGTGGTGAAGCGGTACTGCAGCAAGCAGCGACACCAGCTGGTGGTGAAGCGGTACTGCAGCAAGCAGCGACACCAGCTGGTGGTG